CCTCACACCGCATTCAATAAATCCACTCCATATACAAACATTGTCTAGAAAACACAATCCATCTGAAGGACCCATCTCACCCTTAACATATATTTTCCATTAGGATACCTTAAACTGCTACAACCTTGTCTGGTGTATTCTTTATCATCCCTAAATCATATTCCTGTTACTGGGCAGCACAGGGGGCTCAGTTATGATCACTTTGTCTGTCAGGGCTAATCACAGCAAGAAGACAAGCTAGACATTATTATCGGCAATTTATTATTTAAATAAGTCATACACCAGATGTTCCTGGAATCAGCCAGCAATAGATTTCAGCCACTCAATCACAGCCATTCACCCATAAGAGTCATTTCATTTAAATGAGAACTTTTGGCATGACTTCATTCATTCTTCAGCGTACGCTACCACTTAGGAACACGTATTAAAGAAGCAATAAAGTTAAAAAAACACACTTAGCTTTTGCTTCTCTAATTGTTTTATAATTTAAATTATGCCTAATAGCCCTAAAGAGGCCTTGAAGCCTGTCTTCTGCAGCACTAGAATGTCAGGCACAAGTAATACCCACTGCCTGGGTTCTGTTACAAAGTAGAATTCCACTGTAACCAATATATTATAAATTGCTGCCACAAGTCCTTAATCGCAGCCAAACTAATGGAGGAGTTATAGCAGACCACCACAACAATTGTGTATTACATGGAAGCATTACATACTGGAAACATGTACTGCATTCTTGAATAATTGCATGAGTTTATAATCCTTAAACCAGCCACAAATGGCTGCTCTTGTATTTTGGCCTAAAAACTAAGTCAATCAACCACACAAGTAGGTGGCCACCAACCTTGGAGTTCAGGCAAACCTCTGATAACAGAGCGTGAGTGTATACATATACAACATCAAATCAGTTTGGCCTTATATGTTTTCTCAAAGACAGTAGGATAAGCAACAACTGCTCTCTTGTATGGACGTGGAAGGTCTTGCTAAGCCAGGCATTCATGTCATTTGTTGCCTTATAGATGTCCATGTCACAAGACACAGCGCTTCAGTTGTGTCCTCTATGGCAGCCAAGTATAGTCCCAGTGCAGTATCAGTGCCAATGTATAATGTATGTTTACTGAGTTACTGCAGTGAATGAACTCTGAGTTCCTACCAGCAAATGTCTACATTTGGATTAAACGTCCTACATTTATCCTCTGTAAAGGGAACACCATTATTTTAGTTTACATCTTAGGGCTGAGAATTTTTTTTATATGCATTTGCTGTAGTGTTACTTTTTAAAGATGGTATGTCTTGAGAGAAACATGGGGGCAGACTCTTTAAAAATGCCAACTGTTTGGCCAACAGTTGTTTCTGTGGCACTGACCTGGAACAAACAGCATCAAGTTAGGTCAAAATTAATCTTGCACATGCTTCTTCTTCAGGGTCAGTAATTTCTGAAATTATTGAATCAGCATTACAACTAAGCAGCTAGCACTTTAACCTTAAAGTGGTTGTAAACCTCTAAAATGGAAAATTAACAAAGCACATAGTGTGTTCTAAGCTTAATCCAAAGCACCCATAGTCTAAACCAGCTCCACAGCATCCCAGGTGATGTGTGTCCCCCCCCCCCCAACCCACAGCAATTGACTGAACGCCTCAGCTGAATATATTTCCCTATGATTCTGTGTAGAGGGCAGTTTGTCAATTCACTCTACTCAATGAGCTCTGTGCTCTAGCTGTGCAGTGTGTATGACATCCATTCCCCACCCACTGTCTGCTATGCAGAGAAATAGACTTTGATCTGTGTGTTTTAACAGGATGTAAAAAACAGACAAGTTTACAGATAAACAGGTACAACTTATGCAGGAGGATTTGTTAAATCTCTGTGTGTAATCTGAGGCTAGTCAGTTCACTGGGTGTAAGTAAGGCTTACAACCACTTTAAAGCTCAGCTTTGCTGCCCCCCACTCCTCAAAAAATTAACTCAATGTATACGTACTTTAGATCCCATTGTTTTTGTGATATCATGAATCCTTGTCTGGCATGAGGAAATCTTGAATGCTGCATAGGACAGTTACATTATATAACCTTTCTGTAGTTGCTCTGTGAGTGCAGGATGATGAGATGACTTACCCCCAGGGGTGGGTCCCTGACCCTTGGGCTCATTACAGGTAGTGGGATCACAGGGCAGTGAGTCTGCAGGGGACAGCACTGAGAATAGGGTAAATACTGCAAACATAGCTGCTTTTTAAAACTCCTGCAGAGGTTTTAATTCTTATTTAAATGATATGTCGAAGTTGTATTTTGAAATCTTGGAATAGCAGAATTAAGAGGCCGTTATAATCTTATATGCAATTATATCTCTTCCAAAGTCACCTGAAAATGGATATTTCTTTTTTTTGTTAGTACATCAACACTAACATTTCCATAGCTGGAATATATCCTGGTAGGACATGTTGGCCATCTTTAATGTTTTTGACCCTGGCTTTATTTGCGATTTACATCAAAGTGTCAGTCCTTAGAAACTGGTATTTTAGGCTTTGGAGGGCTGCTTTGCCCAGCAGCTTTATTTCTATTTCTGGCAATCCTTTATTATATCACTACAGCAAGTGTCCTAAGTAAACTGATGGGCCCTTGCCATATCAGTATATGCATCCAGAATAGAAGATGGATCACGTGACAGTTCCACATTGGATGGCTCATTCTACACACGTACATGTGACATAATTCCATTTACTATATACAATAAATGGATGAACACTTTATTCTTAAATTCATTTATTGCCAAATGACACAGAAATGTTTCCAATTGATTATATCATTTAAGTTTAATTGAAGACTGTGTTTTCTAATGCATCACTCCTTTATACCATTAATTGATTTCTTGAATGGCTCCCAGTATTCAGTCCCTGATAAATTGTACAGATAGGAACTATCAGCCATTAATTTATTTGGTATGCATTGATTTCTTATTACTTGATGAATTGTGTCATTGATTATACAGTTTTTCCTCCAACACCTTTAATTGAAGTCTGTACGTTCTCTAATGCATCAATCCCATACATCCCATTAATTGGCCGCATGACATCCAGGTGAATTAGACAGGAACCATTTATACTGAACAGCATAATGTAGTAATAATTCCTGCAAGTGATATGTGCTGCAATCCAAAGGGCGTGTACTGAGACATACTGTATCTGGAGTTAGGTTTTTATTGAGTAATGGCCTTCCCTTAGATCATTTTAGATAGTAAGATAGATAGATCAAAATATGGGTACAGTAGATAGACAGATAGATGTACGCAGAAGTGGTAATGAAGAGAACTTGTGATGTTATAAGCATGGTGGGAGCCATTATGGATTTGTTGTGATGCAGGTTCCAGAACTATTATATTGACCCTGGCTTCACTATCCATGACAATACATGACAATAATTCACACTTTAAGACTCCACTGGCAGAATGCTTGTTTCAAATCAGTGACTTATTTTGGCTAGATTTATATTATTCAGCCCATGGATTGAACAAAAGAAAGTCAATAGATTCTTCCATCCACACTAAACAACTTGGATGGAGTAATCTCCAGTGCCAGATATTGTATTCAGGCAAATGCCTGAACACTCAAATGGTGACTTGCATCAGACTGGATGATACTCTGTTCAGTCAATTTTTAATTTGACTTTTGTTGCGACTTGTGGTGCTGATGGGGCCACCCGTGGTTCGAATTTCAATCAGTTCAGCAGGAATTGGCCTATATTCAGCCATCTATGGTTGGCCTAACTGCATAATGAAGCCCGCGTCAAGGGGACAGTCTGCACCTACATGTAAGCAATGGGAGGTTCCATATTTATGCCCTTACGTGTTTCCTTTAAATAGCAGCTCTACATATAAAGGGTTTCACCACTGTCATAACTGCAACTAAAAAGAAATGTTTAAAATGAGGGAGTAGAATAAGTCTGAGAAGTCTATGGAAGTGCAAGCTTTCCTGTAATGGCTCCGTATTCCAAAGTGCTGTCCTTTGCTATTAGTTGATCTCCTGATAATGTGGATATTGGCAGATCAGAAGTCAAATGCTGCTAATGACCATGCATGGCCTAATTTCAGCCCAGGTTTGGGAGAAAAAGTGGCAATCATGCCATGTCTACCCTGGGTTCTGATCACTGAGGAGAGCTCATTATTTAAGTGGTTGTAAAGGCATCTGATACCCCCTTACAAAAGGTGAGTGGCATAAAAATGTGGGAGATATGCTTAGGTTTGAACGTCTTATTTATCAGCATAGGGGTTGCCCCAATACATTTGAGAAACTTTGGTTATATTGGCTGGACATGCCTGGAATAGGCCTGCAGAATTTAGTGACTGTAGGCTAGGTATCCCTGGATATGTGGGGTATTTTCTCATTTCTCTTTTTGTAATATTTTACTACAGGTTATCATTGCTACAATTTGTGGTGTGCAAACTATTTATTTGTACTTGATTATTGTGTTTGGTGGGAGCCCTGGGGCTCTCCTGTTAATTGCATTTGCCTATTATTGTGTGATGTGCTGGCTAGATATAGTGTATGCTGGACATATTTATACTTTTTTTTTCTTGAAATAAATGCTTGATGCAAAAAAAAAAGTGGTTGCAAAGGCTGAAGATATTTTATGCATGAAGGTAAAAAACCTTCTGTGTGCATGTCACTCCCCCAGTCCCCCTTAACCACTAGCCTACAGGGCACTTATACCCCCTTCCTGCCCAGGCCAATTTCCAGCTTTCAGCGCTGTCACACTTTGAATGACAATTGCGCAGTCATGCAACACTGTACCCATATGAAATTTTTATAATTTTTTTGTGACAGATAGAGCTTTATTTTAGTGGTATTTAAACACCTCTGGGTTTTTTATTTTTTCTTAAACAAACCAAAACCCACTGAAAATTTTGAAAAAAAAACAAAACGTTTTTTCTTAGTTTTGGTTATAAAATTTTGTAAATAAGTGATTTTTCTCCTTCACTGATGTGCGCTGATGAGGCTGCACTGATGGAAACTGATAGGTGGCACTGATGAGGAGGCACTGGTAGGTGGCACTGATGTGCATTGACAGGCATCGCTGATGGGCACTGAAAGGCAGCACTCATCTATGGCACCGATAGGCGGCACTGACTGGCACTGTTAGGTGGCACTGATAGGCAGCACGGACTGGCACTGACTGCACTGATGGGTGACACTGAAAGGCAGCTCAGATGGGCACTGGCAGGTGGCATGGATGAGCACTGATGGACACTGACATGTGGCGCGGCTGGAGCTACACAGATCATCAGGGCACACTGATCATCAGTACTCTGATGATCTGTGTACATGTCCCCTCCGAGGAATGCCAATTACCGGCTCTCCTCTCCTCACGAGCTGTCAGCGTGACAGCTTGTGGGGAGAGAAATGACGATAATCGGCATTTCCCTGGACACAGCTGATCACATGACCGAGCCGACATCTTTGGCTCTTTCCGTGGATCGGTGATCCCTCGGACACAGCGCACCGCCAATTGCCGCGCTGCACGCTTAGAATAGGAGGACGTCATGACGTCCTCCCGGAACGAGAGAACCACCTTGTGTCCGTCACATTACTATATGGCGGGCAGGAGGCGGTTAATATTTACCAGAGCCTGATCTCCATACAGCAATGTGCACAAGAGCAACAGTTCTCTCCCTTCTCATTGGCTCAGAGACAACAGTGGGAGCTGCTGGCTCCTGCTGCTGTAAATCACAGTGCCCTCAAGCCAGTGAGGGAGCAGGGGTGAAGCTGAAAGCCCAGGAGCACTGACGGGGTTCCCAAGAAGAGCAGGATTGGGGCTGCTCCATGAAAAAAAACATTGCACAGAGCAGGTAAGCAGGTAACACACAAGTCACTTTTGTGATACTCTATCCACGTTGCATAGAACCACAACAATGACCTTGTAAGAGGTCATCAGAGTAAGGCAGCCCATACGTTATGCAATTTTCTTTCTTTCAACAGCAGGTTGAAGGAAAGAAAATTGCTGGATTGCCCCATCAACGCAGTCAGTGTTGATGGGGGAATCCCTCCCACAGCACAACTGTGTTCTGCCGACAGGGAACCTTCCCCTCTGGCAGAATAGAATATTTACTGCTGGCTGCTGTTGCTGCTGGCAGTGATCAGGTGAAAAATACCCACAGGTTGATTGCACAGAAGTCAATTGATAGACTGACTTTAGTACAACCAGCCTTCCCAAAGATGGATCGAAATTCATCTGGTTCCTGTTGAACTGGCTGAATTTCAATCCATCTATGGCCAGTTTAAGAGGCTTTATGGTGGTGTTGGGTTGGATGGTACACATTTTTTTTTGAGAAAAAAATTTGACTCTCTGAAAATGCTAGTTGTCTATCTAATCCCCTGCCTTCAATACCTTCTCAGTCACTGAAACAAAACAACACGGCACTTCTGTATGCTTATTGCTCATCAATGTTTTAGAAGTTCTGAAGCCAAAGGGTTGGGATGACAATCAGGTAACTGGTATTTTCAGAAAAGCAGAAAAAGTGTTTTTTTTTTTCTTTTATGACAGGTTGCCTTTAAAACTGCAAGTTTCAGGGAAAATGTAGGCTGCATAGGCAAGACACAGTTTAATATGAAACTGACTTTATACTACACACACATACTTGGATGCAAAATATGCACATCTTGTACAGCATTGCTCTCCTCCTCCAGACAATGCCAGGTGTGTGGAGCAGCAATTGGGAATGTATACAGTGATAAATGGACACACATCCCTTCACAGCCCCAGAAGCTCCCACATGTTCTCAGGATATAGATTTTTATCACCTCTATAAATTTAAATTACAACAACCAGGGGAGATGACACCTTTCAGATTATTTTTACTATTGCTCTGGTGGAGAAAAGTCAGTATTTTCTTGCAGGCGAAGAACATCTGAAATATTTTGACTCCAATACGCCTGCATAGCATTTAATTCCAGGGATGAGCAGACGGCGGGCCAGTTGCAGCTTCTTGAAATTCTATCAGCACATGCATTAATGTGAATGGCAGCTAGGAAAGAATCTGTAAAATGGAAGTTCTGCACAACACCAAATTATAATGCAAGTGGCCTCAGTTCTTAGATACATAATATATTTAGATGATCACAGGCCCGGACTGGCCATAGGGCACACCAGGCATTTGCCCAGTGGGCTGGGGCTGCCAGGCTTAAGATAACCGAGCCATACAGCGAGAGGTAAGTGGTGACCGCGGTCTGGACAGGGCTAATACAGACCGCAGCTGCTGCTCACCTTCCGCTATGTGGCTATGCCCAAAGCAGGGCCGACAGGAGGAGCAGCAGTGATGGCTCTTGAAGACAAGCAGGAAGCGCCGCTGACACAGGGACACCTCCTCGGCCGGTTGCTGCACTGAAGCGAGGATGGCGGCCACAGGAACACTGTGACAGGTCTGTAGCGGCAGTGGATGGGGCTGTCTCTGCTGGATGGGCTAGCTCGTTGCTGGTGGGCTGTCTCTTTGCTGAATGAGCTGTCTTTTCTAGAGGGGCTGTTTTTTTTGCTGGAAGAGCTGTCTCTTTGCTGAAGGGGCTATCTATTTGCTAGACAGACTGTTTCTTTGCTGAAGGGGCTGTCTGGGAAGGACTGTCTCTTTGCTGGACGGGCTGTCTCTTTGCTGGACGGGCTGTCTCTTTGCTGGACAGACTGTTTCTTTGCTGAAGGGGCTGTCTCTTTGCTGGAAGGACTGTCTCTTTGCTGGACGAGCTGGCCCAGCAAAGAGACATCCCAATCCAGCAAAGAGAGCCCAGTCCCAGGAGGGACACCCTGTCAAGCAAAGAGACATCCCATATTTGCTATATGGGGATTTCTCTTTGCTGGGGATGGGGATGTATCTTTTCTGGATGTCTCTTTGCCCAGTTGGGTCCAGCAAAGAGACAGCCCACTCCAAGAAGGGACATCCCCATCCAGCAGAGACATCCCCGTCCAGCAAAGAGACATCCCGTCTTTGCTATATGGGGATGTCTCTTTGCTGGATAGGGCCATCTCTTTGAATATATAGGGGGCATGGTGATGAGATCTCTATGGGCACTGTAATGTAAAGGGGCACTATGATATAAAGGGGACTGTGCTGTAAAGGGGCACGGTAATCAATACAGTGCCCCTTTCCAGTGCAGTCCTCTTTATATCATAGTGCCCCTTTATATTACAGTGCAGAGCACTGACTCCATGACTATTCCATCACAAACTGCCCCCACGAATGCTCTTGCACCCCCCCCTTTGGAAATTGGCTGCTCAGTCTAAAATGTCCAGGCCTGGTTGATCAGTGTTCAGTTCAGGGTGACTAGTAGTTCTGGAACATTAAAAAAACCTTCATGTTTTATTATACGTGTCCTAGAACAAACTTAGAACAGAAATCAACACTTAAAAGTGTTGCTGGTTAGTCACAGACAAGACACTATGGTTATACTTCAATTCAAATGAAAGAATGGAAGCTGGATCTTGATAATCTATGGAAAATAGTTCTTGTTTTCTTTGGGTGCAGTTTTTTTTTTAAAGTGTGTGTAAACTCCAACAATAAACTTCTCTTATTTGCTTCGCTGTGGTCTTAAAGATGAACCGAACTTCAGAAGTTGCCGCCCCCCCCCCCCCCCCCCCCCCCCAAAAAAAAAAAAGCACACAGAAAACATAGGACTGGCTGCCAGCAGTGGTGTATTTAGCTCTTATGCTGCCCTTGGCAACACAAAAATTAGGTGAGCCCCCAACAGCCAGTAAAATTGAGCACCCACAACCACCAGCACCCGATGGCCCCTGCCACCACAATTGGATGCCCCCCTACTACCACAAGCACCCACCCAGTCCTCGCCGCTGCCACAAAAATTGGGCACTCACCACCACCCCCAACACCCCCCCTGGGCCCCACCCGCCGCAACTATCTGATAAACAAACCTCCCCAGTCCTCCACTCACAAAGAGTTAGTCAAGTACTAAACCTCTCCGGAGCCAAGCCCAGTGTCTTCCTTCCTTGTGTGGGATGCTTACACCCTCCAGCAGCATGCAGCCTTCTCAAATTTCATGGTGGAGCCTCACCAGGTCCCCAGGTGGCACTGCTCCCTGAAAATTGATGCCCTAAACAAACGCTTGGTTTTCCTCACAGTAAATACACTGCTGTTCACCAGTATTGTCTGCAGATGATCATTTCTCCATCACTGACGTACAATGAAAATGAGAGAATGAAGGGGATGAGGAGGCACAGAAAGCAAGGACAGACATGGGGAGGGAGCACAGCTTACACCTGTTCAAACTTTTATAATTGGCAACAGTGTTCCTCAGCCCTTGACTGTATCTGTGTGTATACACATAGCAGGACATGCGCTGTACTCTGTCACTTTGAATCTCTGTGTACACATGGGGCCCGATTTTTGTATAGATCCTGTAGGTTTATTTAAGCAAGACTCTCATTCACAGTACAGTAATTATGGAGTATGTTGCAGGTACAAGCACTGCAGACCATGTTCAGTGTATACCATATGTAAGTTTAGACTATTTAACCTCTTGCTGCTGGCCGTAGGCATACATGCGGCCATTCATTAAGTGGGCCTTAACACCAATTGCTAAAATTTTTTTTTTTAAAAGGACTCGTGTGCCAATATAGTGACTTTCACCTTCAAAATGTGTAACAAAATACTATTTTTTAAAAAAAATGAAAACTTAAAATAAACCAAAAATAAAAAACAATATGTGGTTCGCAAACACTTCACACCCAACTCATATAATAGTGTATATAATAGTAAATAAATAAATTATTGTGCTGCGCTCCCTAAAAACAAAAACAGCATGTGCATATATATCAATTTTCAGAAACATGCAATAACCCTCTTAATTGTATTCCACTAAAAATCCACCCATGCAGCAAAAACATCCCAATATAATACACAAAAAATCCTCATAAAAAAATCTAAGCAAAAAAATCTAAAACTAAGTTTTCCACACTCACATTGTAACAGATAAAAACAAGCCCATCAGTAAAAGTACTACTAGTAAAAAGTGGCTACTTTTACTGATGGGCTTGTTTTTATCTGTTACAATGTGAGTGTGGCAAACTTAGTTTTGCAATAAAGTGTTTTAAAAGGATAAAGCACTATTCTTTGTTTCCCTTTATTACCATACATGTGGAGATTGCTGGAGTAATCTTTAGGAGGTTCATTCCCCAGGAGGGGTGGAAGAGGCATATTATATCCATTTATCCGCATGTCCATAGAAGAGGATTAAGAGTCCAGGTGGTTAATCAGGAACACTGAAGTGTGGAGAGATCCAAAGAAGGTGGTGGTCATCCAAGGGATCCTTCATCCTCATGTGGGATAAAACTGCGTTTATTAGCCTGATAGGCTATGAATTGAGGTGAGCGCATAATAGAGCAGCAGTGTTGCTATAAGGAACTTGGAAACCTGGAATTAATCCATTTGATTGAAGCTGATTT